TACACGAGTGTGGAGGCTGCTTTAACTGGAATTCCAGCACGTCGGAGCAGACTCAATTAATTGAGTCTGCTGGAGCATGGCAACTACCGCACTCCAGCAGCCTCCTGCGTCTTGTGTATCAGCATCCCTGTGCTTAAAAATGGCAGCAGGGGTGCTTGTACTGAAGCTCATCGAACGAGCTTTAGTTCAGGCGTCCCTGCCACCATTTTGAAGCATAGGGATGCTGATACAGGAGACATGGCTGTGCTTTAATTAGAGTGGCTCTTGGAGCCGCTCTAATTAAAGTGCTGCCACCCATCCCCAGAGCATGTGTAAAAGTGCCTGTGGAGGAAAGAATAAATAAGAACAGTGTTAAACAGAAAATAGGTTAAAATGCAGTATGAATCAGTTGGTCCAGCCCAGAGGTTCCCAAACTTTTTCTTATTGCATAGCCCCCTTCAGATTTACCAGCTGCCCACATACCGGCTACCAGCATATCTTTTATATTTTAGCCCCTTAAATACCAATTGTTATTATAATTAAGATGAAATCTGCCATTATACAATTCCTCCTGCATACCCTCCAGAGATGTTTTGTGTATCTCCGGGGGTATGCGTTTACCACAGTTTGGGAACCCCTCGACCAGTCTAACTTCATGTCTTTGATAATGAGAATTAGTTTTTTAGCAAAGGAAACATCTCATCTATCTGGAAACCTGGGAGGTACATCCTATCTATCTAGATTTCAGTTAGGGATTTGATATCGTATCACGTGAGAAATTATTATTTTAGATGGAGAAGATTAGTTTAGTACGAGAGTTATAAGGTGAGTAAGGAGCTGGCTGTGAAGGAGAGACAACAATGGATACTGTTGAAAGGGGAAGTATTAAGCTGAGGTAAAGTTACCAGTGGATTTCCTCAAAGATAGGTCTTGTAACTGATCTTACTTAATATTTTCATTAATGATGTTGGGAAAAAACTAGGCGGTAGCTGAAGAAATTTGCTAAATACCACAGAGTTAGGAGACATTCTTACTACCAGGCTATCATGCAGAACAATTTTGACAACTTTGAAGACTGGAATAATAGACGAATTCAAATTCACAGTACAGAATTTTGGGTCATGTACTTGGGAGCTAACAACAAGAATTTCTTCTATAAACTGAGAAGTCATCAGTTGAAAATGATTGACGAGGAGAAGAACCTAGCTTTTGACTGTAAACCATGCTCATAGGAGGTATCATGCAAAGTATTTCTAGTTGATCTCTGAAAGTTTTATTGCCATTTATTCAAGACCCGTTAGCCTTACCTCAGTAGTATGTAGTGCTTTAGAACAAATTTTGTAGGGAACAATAAATAAAGACAGAGCATTAAATGGAAAATAAGCTAAAATGCAGGCTGAGTCAACTGGTCCAACCTAACCTCATGTCTTTGGATATGCTCATTGTTTTTTTTAGCAAAGGAAACATGGGAAGTACATCTCATCTATTAAGGATTTCATATTGCATATGTCTGACTTGCTAATTCTTATACTGGGAAAGAGAGAGACTTGAAAGACAGCCATTGAGAGATTTAGCTGTAGAAGTGTAAAGAAAAGGCTGGATCGTGGAAGAAGTGGCAGGAATTGGAATGAAAAACAAGTCTCAGATTGCTGGCTTGTGCATAGTAGCATGATGAGATGATATTGACAGAAAGTGGGGCAAAGGAAGGAAGAGAAGTAGTTATGAAAGGAAGAAAGGAGTTTAGTGTTGGCCATGTGTGGTTTGAGATAATGACAAAACAGAGGATGTGAGATGAGAGGCATGACTGGATGGAAAGGAAGCAGTTTAGCAGTGCAAAGAAATTTGCAAGTCATCAACATAGAGTGCTAAAACTGTGGGAGCTAATGGGATCACCCAAAATAAGGGTGTTAAGTGAGAAGAACAGAGAGTCAAGAGCAGAGCTTTTTAAGAACTGCTACAGAGCACGGGAGACCCACCAAAAAGGATGATAAAAGAACAGTCAAGAAAATGGAGACAGCTAATTACGTATCTTGAAAGCTCAGTGAGGATAAGATGGTGAGAGGAGGATGATTTAACTTTGTATCAAAAAAAGCAAAGGAAGATGAGGGCAAGCTAGGGTCCTTGAGATTTGGCTAGGAAGACCCTAGTGCAGTTTCAACAGGGTAGAAATAGCTAGAAGCAGATTGAAAGGGATCCAAGATAGTAATAGAGGAATGGAAGTGAATGTACTGACTGTAGACTGCACTTTCAGTGAGTGTACAGTTAAGGTAGAGGAGATTTGGGGATAGCTGTAGAAGCAGGTGGGGTCTAGATTTCTAAAGGATGTGGGGAAAAAAAAAAAAAAAGGAAAGGGGAAAGAGGATGAGGGGGGAGACATAAGTAAGGAAACAGGAATGGATGGAAATACTGAGGGAATTGGAAGTCACCAGATGCATGTCTTGTGTGTGCAGTAGGACATTTACATAATCTTACTTTTGTAAGAACAGGTAGCAGAAGTGTTATTACATACATTTTCTTTGTAGTATATATTAGTGAGCAATGACAGATTTTGTAAGTAAATTGCAAAAATAGAGCAAATTTTGCCATTATATTTTGAGATTTTTGACTGCAAAACTAAAAGTGAGATCAGCTTTTTCTTCAGAAATTTATAAAAAAAACATTTGAAGCAGCAGGATGTGCTCCTTTCTTCCCTCTTGGGAAATGAGCTTTCTTTCTCCTCTTCAGACCCACACCACCACTATTGGAGGGCATCATGCTGGTGTGTGCTGGCTGATGCGGGCCCTGTGGAGTTCATTTAGCATTGGAAAGAGACCGACACATCCAGATTTCAGGAGCAGCACTACCTAATTGTCTGGCTCCTATTCAGCAGCAGATTGACCCAATAAACTCTAATGAATCTGGATTCCTGCAGTCTGATTTGCTTCCGCTTTCTATTACGTGCTTCTTTCAGTCCATGAAGAGTTGAAACCTGAGTGCCATTTTTGACAAAGGGAGTGAGAGAGAGGGGGGGGGTGAGGAGAAAAAGGGCAGATAACAGCCGAATGTAATCAGCATTTTATTACCATCCTCAGGAAGTGGGAATAGTTTTTATAAAAAAAAGTAGGTTGGAGCAAGGAAAGTTAATTATGGTGAGGTTATTTGACAGGAAATTACAAAATACAAACAGACAGAAGAAACACATTTTAAAACAGGGTAGGAAATCTCAAGTTACTTCACTGTGTATATTCAAAACCCCCAAAGCAAAGGCTGAAAATAGCAGTTTAAACAAAAGCTATCTTATCAGATAAAGGCATTTCAAGCACAAAGGGAAATGTATATATTGGGTTGACAGTCTTAAAATAAACTGATTGTCATGATAACACTGTAGATTTAATTGTGGGAAAATTTGGGTTTGTTTGAATGACCCAGAGACACAGACCCAGTCCATTTATATGAGAATTTTCTATCTTATACATATCTAGTCCCTTACACAATGTTTGTCACTATTTTTCAGAAATTGCAAGGTAGCCTTGTGCATGTGGAATGAGACTGATAAATATGTGCATATTTTCTTGGTCTTTATGCAGACCAAATACAATTCATTTCCTATGCTACTATTTATAGACAGTGCACCAGAACATCTTCTACCTGTTAGGTGTCTAAGTGGTTTTTGAACCTGAAACCTTGCTTAATAATTGTTTTCCAACTATTTAAGTTGGTCTAATAAAAGATATCAGATTCACCCAAAGAACCTTGTCTGCCTAAGTGGTACTTAGGACTTGAGGGCTAAGTATAGCCAGTCAAAAAGCCCAACCCTGAACCAATTCAGTCTTCATAGGTTAATTTAAACTGGGTAGATTGAACTGAGAAGCAAGTGTACAGGCATTCACTTTTGATTCTGAAAATGCAGCCACATATCTGTAGGCCAGAAGCAGGGGAGTGCTAGAGCATGCCTCCCTGCTCAGCTGGAGCAGACAGCTTGGGTCAAGGCTAGCCTTGTACAGTAAAGTAATTAACTACTCTACCGGGGGGGGGGAGAGGTTGCAGGGGAGGTGCAAAGCATCCTGGGATGCTGGGGGACTGTGAGTTAACTTGAATCTGGAGAGGATCAGGGACAGAAATTCAATAAACCAATTTTTCCTAAATCAGTTAATTCCGATACTACATCTATCCAAGTTTATCTTCAACCAGTTTCAGCAATTTTAAAAGTGGTTTGTGTGTACTGAACTTCTGTTGTGTAACAGATTTGAACTGGTTTCCAATCACTTATACTGGTTTATGTGTACTTTCTGTCCCTAGCCCAAGGGTTTAAGTAGCATCCTATTCTCCAACTGTATAAGTCCAGGAAAGTTGTTAATGTAAATTTGGGTTGACCCTCATCCTCCTTGTTACCTTTTGTGACTTAGTCTTACGGCTAAGCTGGACAATAGTATAGGCATTACTATTATTTCAGGGATTTGAGCTATTTGGGATAGGATTGTACTCAAATGCGTTAAACCAGTAGTTCTCAACCTTTTTAGACTTGAGGCACCTGTTGGAGAATGCCAGCTCTTAGCTTTCATTCATTTTTTGACTGTGAATACTAGAGCAACTTTTCTGTTGCAGAGAACTCAGAAAAAACACAGTAGGGCCAAATCTTTTTAATACTGTGGATTTCTAGCATTGTATGGCACCCTGTGGCCCCCTTGAAAGGATATCAAGCACCATAGGGTGCCATGGCTCACTGCTTCAGAATCATTGTCTTAGGCACTTACTAGATGGAATTTGATCTGGCCAGTAATGTTACTTTTAGCAGGTTTTCTGTGCTAAGGAAAACATGAATAGAGAAGTGTAGAATTTGTTTTATTCGTTACTTGTTGTTGTATTTGTTTAATTATTGGAATTATGGAGGTATGCCATTGAATATGGAACTCGTTTTATCTTTAACAAACCAGGGAAACTTTGTTTTGTTACCATGTTAACCACTTCTTTGAAGGACATATATACATGTAAGGAGAGAAGAACATGCTCTGTACTAATGTATGATTCTTGTCCTGCTGTAGGTACCAAAGCTCTGAAGAACAGCAGTGAGGAACTCAATGATAGCTGCTCTCTCTCAGAGCCTTCCATCAAAAGACAACATTCTCCCCAAAGAAAGGACTGATTCTTTTTGAAGGTAAAGACCGTTCAATTTCTGGGGCCCTCTTTACCATTCTTCCTTGAACATTACTTGCTGAGACACTGAGTCAGCATTGATCTTCATATAGATATCTATATGCCCTCATGGTTTGGTAGACTATATATTATAGAAAATAGGTATATCAACAAAATTACATTTACTGTATCAGAGGATGGGAAATCATATTTGCATACATGGGGCACATCTACACGTGTGCTTTACTGCAGAGTAGACTGTTTTGCTTCGCAGTAAAGTATCACTGTCTACACGTGTGGCAGTATTAGGCTGCAGTAAAGTAATTAACTCGGTCGGAGATAAGTACTATCTTACGGCAGGGTAATTTACTGTGATTAAATGCATGTGTAGATGCACGTGTACATTGTGGGCGTAAATTGCATTTGGTCAGCCTAGCCAGCAGGGGGCCAGACTCCTGCCTGCTGCCTAACCACACGGATCTACACTTCAGCACCCTTGCGCCCCAGCCAGCCCTTCCTCCACCCAACACCACAACCTGGAGCCTGGGGCTGACCCTCCCGTGCCCCCTGCCGGCCTGGGCCTGCACCCTGGACACCGGGCCACACCGCTACCACCAGCCACAGCCCTACGCCACTGAGCCTGCTGCTGACCACTGCCACCTGCCAGAGGCTCCCTGAACCCGCTGCCACCCACCGAGCCTGCTCTCAGCCGCCACCATGTCGGGCCCCCCACCCTTTGACACCCAGGGACGGGGGCCCAACTGGACACACGAGGAGACCTCCGACCTCATTGCCATCTGGGGGGACATCAGCGTCCAGCAGCAGTTTGCCCGTGCTACCAGGGCCAACGCCCACGTGTTCCAGGAGATGTCCTGGCGGATGCAGGAGCGTGGTCACCGGCGGTCCGGCCACCAGTGCCGGGTGAAGGCCAAGGCCCTGAGGGCGCAATTTGTCCGCGTCCAGGACCATAATAGGCAGCCTGGGGCTGCCCCCAGAACCATGCCCTTTCTCCGTGAGCTCGAGAGGATCCTGGCCCCCACAGGCCCTACTGAGGCCCCTCCCGTGTTCTGTAGCACGGGCGGACTTGAGGAGCCTGTGCCAGGGGCTGCGGGTCAGGAGGACTCTCCAGGGGAGGGCACCTCGTGGCTCCCTCACCAGGTCCCAGCACGCTCCCCGCCCTCAGCCTCACCCGGCAGCTCAGACAGCCCGGGCCACCACTTGCCCCAGCTATTCCAGAGGCGGCCCACCAGCGAGGAGGACAGGGTGGGGATGTCCCCTGCAGACGCCAGCTCCGGGTCGTCACGGGAGGGGCCCACTGCTCGGCCGGCCACCTGCCGCGCCTCACCGCTCCTGGATGCATCGGCCAGCCGGACCTCATCTCCGCGGCCTCACCCGCCCCCGCCCGCGGGGCGCCCCTGCCACACCCGCCCGGTAAGCCCCACACAGGAAGGAGGGCCGGGGGCTGAGGGAGCCGTGGCCACTTGTGCCCGCATCAGCTCACCCACCCGCTCCCGCATTGTGCACTTGTAGCCAGCAATCCTGCACGCGGGGGTGGGGGACCCTCCCCTCCTCTTCTTTTCCTTCCTCCTGCCTGGCCAAGTTCCCCCCTATTTGCTGGAGTTCCCTCCCACAACATGCAGGGAGGCAGGGGGCAGTTCAGGACTTTATTAAGCACCCCACAGGCTCCCAGCTAGGCAGCTAGGGGCCCATCACATGCGGAGAAACTCGTCGATGGCAGTGGTGATCTCCTCCTCGGCTGAAGGTACTTGTAGTGTAGGCAGCAGGTACAAGTCAGGTACTTGTAGTGTAGGCAGAGATACCCCTCCAGGTGGTGGTGCATGTTGCAGAGAAGCATGAGCTTGCCTGGGGCACCCTCGAAGCTTCGGGCCTTGTGCCATGTTCTCAATTGCTCCTGGAGAACCATTGTGATCACCAGCAGCACGGCATAGTGGTTCGGGCAGCCCTCAGAGTGCTCAAACAGTTAGTTGTGGCATGCCCAGGTGATTCTGACCAGGACCATGCTTGGGGCGCAGCCTGCATGCAGTGGGGGCTTTGGCCTGGGGTGCCTCCCCGGACAGGCCTGCTGGAGGGAGGTGGGAGGTATTACCTGGTCCATGTTCAAGCCAGGTTGTTGCCCCTGACCCCTAGGACCTGGGTGCCACCGGCCCGGCAGCACAGGAGCAAAGTTCCTGGCCTGTAGGGAGGAGAAGGAGGGGAGTTGATTTTGAGCCACCATGGCAGCTGCCAGGAGAGGGGTAAGGGGGCTGGCATGGCCTGGCCCGGGTAGGGTATGGGGAAGGCAGGCTGCTTGCGGCAAGCAGCCCACCTGCCCCCACTGTGGAAGCGGGGAGGGAAGTCTCGTCTGACAGCCACCTGTGGAAGGAGCCTCCTGGGCAACTTACCATGGTCCCTGGTTGCCTGTGTGCATAACTCCCAAAGTGAGGGCAGACAGCATACAGCCTCTCTGTACAATGCATGTTATCTCTGAAATGTTGCAAATTCTCACAAGTAGCCTCTTTGTCCTTGCTCTGCAGAACCAGCTGCTGGACATGGGGGAGAACCACCTGGCATTAGGGGAGATGGGGTCCCAAGGCCACCTGCAGCCTCTGCAGGTGCACTCCGCATGCGCCGGCTCCGTCAGCGCCGGAGCCAGGATCGGACAGCTCTCCTCGATCGGTTGGTGACCGTCTCCGAGGAGCAGCTCGAGGAGAGTCGGACCTGGCACCGCCGCTGGCTCCAAGAGTTCCGCAGGATGTGGCAGGCCATGGAGCGGTCAGATCGTGAAGACCGTGAGGCACGGCGGGCGGAGAGTGAGGCCCACCATGCCCTCCTGCAGAGGCTGGTGGAGGCCCTGGAGGACCAGCGTGATGTGGTGCGACGGGCAGCGGCTGTTGCTGAGGACGACCAGCGTGTCACTGACTCTGTGCTGGCACTGGCGATGTTTGGCTCCACACCCAGTGTCCAGGCCCCAACCTCGACCCCGGCCCCAGCTGGCCCCTGGCAGCCGCCTGCAGGCCTGCCTCATGCCCCCCAGTGAGTGTGGCAGCAGGTACAGTGCAACCTACAGAAGGCAGGGCCCTCAGCCTCTGCACCAGATCCTGGTGCCTGCGCCCCCCACTGTGCCTGCCATCTCCCACTTGCCCTGGCTCCTTGCAGACCCTGAGCAGGAGGTGGCTGTGGCGGGGCTGGCTCCCTACGTGGGCCCTGCAGGCCCCAGCCCAAATGAGGAGGAGGTGGCGTGGCTGGATAGCACCCTCCCTAGTCCCTGGGCCAGCTCCTGGCCTGCTGGGAGCCCTGTGGTGCCCAGACCTGAGGTGCTGGAGGCTCAGATGCCAGGTGCCTCCCTCCAGGCTCCATGCCCTAGGCACCTCCTTCCCACTGTTTCCCACCTGGCAATTGTAAATAGATACCTGTAAATAGTTTCATGGGGATAAGGGCGCTTTATTGGTGGTGCGCATTGGGGTTGGGGGAGGGGCTGTTGGGAGGGAGGGTAGAAGGGGGTCTGTTATTGGGAGGGAGCAGGGATGATGTTTGTTGTTGGGAGGGGACAGGGAGGGTGTCTGGGAGGGAGCAGGGAGGGAGTCTGTTGTTGGGAGAGTGGGAAGGGGTCTGTTGTTGGGAGGGGGGTCTGTTGTTGGGGGGGGTGTCTGTTGGTGTGTTGGGGATGGAAATAAAGTTTGGGGTTTGTTGAAAACTGTCTGCAGTGTGTGTGTCTTTGGTGTTGCACTGTGGGCCCAGGGTCTGTGGGCAGCTGCCCAGGTGCTCTACTGCGAAGGGTGGTGGAGGAGATGGGCTGCAAGCGCCTTGTGGCTACAGTGTCCTGGCTGCCGCTGCTGGGTGCTGGGTGTAGCAGGGCACTATGGTGTGCCTGACGCTTTAAGGGGAGAAGCTGCCTGAGAGGCAGCTTTTAAGTGGTGAGGGGGCTGATTGCAGGCTCACCTGACCAGAAGAAGGCCTGGTTGGGGCTACACAAGCCCAGTGCCTGAGCTGGTCAGAGAGCCTAGTCCTGAGAGCCTAAAGAGAAAAGTTCTCTGGAGCAGGGCAGAAGGACTCCTGAAGGACCCAAGAAGGTAGGGGAAGCAGAATTACTCTGCAAGCCTGGGAACCAGAGGATATTACCTGGGTTAGAGAATAAAATGTTTATGCAGGCAAGGGGCCTTTGTTTTGTATCGGAATTATTGAGTTACAGGCCTTGAGCCCTGCTGGAGGTAGACTCAAGGCCTACAGAGAATTCTCCATCCCAGAGGAGGGGCTGAGGAGGGATATAGAGGGTCCCTAGCCCAGAGAAAGGAATGAGTGGGGATAGAGGAAAAGGGAATAGAGCCTACGAGCACAGAGAAGGGGCCGAGTGGGGCATAGAGGGTTCCACAGCCCAGGGGAAGGGCTGAATTAAGGGAACAGTGCCCAGAGAAGGATCTGAGCGGGGTACAAAGGGTTTCCCAGCCCAGAGAAGGGACTGAGTCAGGAAGCTGAACAGAAGACCCGCTGGCCAGGAAGAGTTGGAGTGAGGGTTTAGAGGGTCTAAAGTCTCCAAGAGGGACTGTGTGAGGGAATAGGGAGGGGTTGGATGCCCCAGAGATAGAGGACAGAGAGAACTAGAGGGTGTGAGATTCCTGAGAGGATCTAAGAGAAGTTAACACCTGGAGGGATAACACCCACAAAGCTTGGGTTGTGGTGTAGGGGAGGAATGGAGCCACACACAATTTGCCCTTAGGACTATAGGTACCTTGCAGGGATACTGCCAGGCCAAGAGGGTGGGGGTTGGATCGAGACTGGTGGGGTCCAGGAGGGACCCATTGAGGAGTTGATTGGGCTTAGGCTTTCTCTAAGGTCTGTGGGCAGCCTCCCTTCAATAAAAACAATGTAGTGACCACATTAGAGACAGAGTCAGGCAGGAGCCACACAGTTACCAGAGGACATCATCGCCACCCCTGTGGCTTGAACCCACTACAGAGGCAAGGGGCATCCATGGCATCCTGGACATAGACTCTCGGGACAGTGTTGTGGAAGGCTGTGTCAGCAAGCTGTATACTGCTTGGGGCTAGAGAAGTGTGTGGCTGGGGAACACGGTGTAGGGCAGCCTTTGAAAGAACAGGGATGGTGGCTGTGGGTGACTGCAGGTGACTGCAGCTGGAGCCTAGAGCTCTCCCTGGCTGCTGTAGTGGGGCAGAGCAACGTAGGGGCATCCCTGTCCTAAACTGCTCTGCCCTGGCTCAAATTGCTGCTGTTGCGGGTGCATGTGTAGATGCTGCACCCAGAAGTAGTTTACTCCGGCTCAAACTGCTCCAGCGTTTGTTACTTCACATTAATTGCACATATAGACACCCATGATGTAATCACTTAGCTTTTGTCTAAAATTGGAATAAGTTTGACAATAGATTTAAAATGGCAAGTAAACACATCTTGCTTGCTTTGATTAAACAAAAATAATATTAAGAAGCCTTAGGAATTTTATAGGTTGAGGATATGCAGCCATTATTAGTAGCTGCATAATTTTTTGTCACGCTATTTCTTCCTCTCTCCAAAGGCTACGTGTTTGACAGCGTTATTTATTATATTGTCCTCACGGGGCACTTCTACGTGGGCAATTAGGGCAGCTGAATAAATTCCAGTGCGGTTTGCGTCAGAGTTTATTGCTTCTGGGTGCTGTGTTTGAACATGCACCCAGGACCACAACATGTTGAGCCAGAGTGGAACAGCCCTGGCTGGCAGGGAGTTCCGGGGCTCAGCCTGTCAGCCCAGGGCTGCTCTGACCTGGCTCAATGTGTTGTAGAGGGGCTGGCTGGGGCATGAGGGTGCTCCAATGTGGAGCACTGCAGCAGGCAGCCCTTGCACTGAAGCACTCTCATGCCCTAGCCAGCCCATCAGCATCTACACATGCATTGCAGTGCACTAAACAACACTGCTGTAGAATAGTATTTGTGTTGGGCAGTACTATCCTGTGGCAACATTTATTAGTTTCCTGTGGCCCAATAGTACCGCATGTGTAGACATTGACATTTTACTTCAGAGCTAATTAGTTCCTCCATAAATTTCTTGTGTAGACATGCTTGCTGACAACTATGCAACACATGCAGACAAGGGGAAATAATACCCAGGAAAGGGCTCATGCAAAGAATTCTGTTCATACAGTTGAAGTGGTTTCAATCATGTGACTGGTTCTGAGACTAGAGGATTATGAAGTCAAATGAATGCTGCCACCATGATATAAATGCACCAGACATTTCTGTGATTTTGTTGGGTATCACAGTCCTTGGAGAAATGCAATGTATTTTCTAATAATTGGTCTGCTTTGCCTCTAGCCCTCTCTTACTGACATTATGGAGCTTTCATCATTAATAAATACAACAGAAACAGGAAATCTGGAGTGGACTGTTGGGTGCTCATTTATTGCATATAAGATTGAAAATTAGTGGGACATTAGGGAACCATCTTCCTGGTTCAGATGTTAGGTGTCAGTCATATGAATAAGTTGGCAAGCGGGCTCCTTACTCTTTTATTCTACATCATGGCCTTCTATAGGGATAGGGACAGAAGTTACACATAAACTGACTTAAGTGATCAGAAACCAGCTTAAATTTATGACAGAACAGAAGTTCGGTGCACATAAACCACTTCCAAAATGGCAGAAACCAGTTTCAGATAAACTTGGTCAGCTGTAGTATCAGACTTGCACTGGTTTGACCTAAATCAGTTATGGAACTTCTGTCCCAGATCTCTTCCAGATTCAAGTTAACTCACAGTCCCCCAGCATCCCAGGATGCTTGGCAGCCCTGGGCTGTGCAGTCTGCTCCAGTGGAGCAGCGCTGGCCCCACCCCTATGCTGTCACAAAGCTGAGGCAATAAAGCTGCTGCTCCTTAGCCTCTGCCTATCAACAAAGCAGGAGTGGGGGCAGGGAAGTGACCCCAGGCCCCGCCTAGCCCAGGTCTGCACAGCACAAGGGGAGGGAAAGCCCCCTCTGTTGGGCTTATGGCCTCCACCTCCACAGCCCTTGAGCTGGGACTGGAATCGATGTAGCCCCTCCCCCCCCTGCCAGCTGCCCTTGCCTCTGAGAAGCTGGGGGGACGGGAATGTATCTACCTAGTATGGGACCCCAGCTGGGTCTGCACCACACAGGGAGGGAAAGCCCCCTCTGCTGGGCTTTTCACCTCTTCCTGCAGCCCAGAGAGCTGGGCTGGGATCCCTCAGCTCCACCTTGCTAGTTGCCTTGCCTCCAAGGGGTTGGGGGGGTGGGGGGACAGGGCATGCACCCACCTAGCCCAGCACCAGCCCCCCAGGTAGGGTCTGGCCCAGCACCATGCCCCCAGGGTAGGGTGTGGCATGGTGGGGAAAGCCCCTTCTGCTGGATCAGCTCCCCCAACCCGTGCTTGCAGCCCAGAGAGCAGGGCTGGGCTCCCTTAGTCCTGTCTCCTTGCCAGCTGCCCTTGCCTTCGGGGGGGGGGGGAGAGCAAGGAACGCCCCTGCTCAGCCTGGCACCAGACCCCCAGTGGGGTCCAACAACACCTGCAGCTGGGGTCTGCAAAAGCACAGGGGAAAACCCCCTCTGCTGAGCTTTTCACTGCCCCAGGCTGAAGGGACTGTTCACCTCCCACCAGTGTGGGAGCAGGGCTAGGCCCTGCCAGACCATAATAAGGGGTGGGAAGGTGGGGAATGCCGTCTCTGCATCAGGGACAAGGATCTGGGACCCTGCCAGGGATGGGGAATCCCCACTGAGTCAGGGGGATCACGCAAGCCCCAGGCTGTCCCCCTGGAGGGGACAGCAAGGTTTTGGGGTGTGTGTGCTGAGCAGCTGATTGAGGATGAGCCCATGCTCAGCTGCATTCCAGTGCCTTCTGCAGTGGCTGGGAGGCATGCACCAGTGCCCCCCAACTTCTGGTGTGGGCCACTTCAGGGGTCTGGCTGCCTTCTGGTTTCAAAAGTGAATGTCAGTTCACTTTGTTATTGGTTCAATCTACACAGTTTAGAGAAACCTGCGGAAACTGAACTGATTCAGCCTCCGGCTTTTTGACTGTCTGTACTTAGCCTGGATGAT